TTAATTATTCGTTCTAAAATTGTTGTACTTGGGTTCATTTTTAAATTGCTTACATTTGCTCTTGATACGATTATATTTTAGTATTGGAATAAAGTATAGACTGTAATATTTTGTGTTAATTTTTGGCCAGGTTTCCTGAAAAATTTCATATTGTTAAATATTTTAAATTGTTTAAATATAATAGCTATATATTATAAATATAGATTTATAATATTATATGTTACGTATATGTATAAATATCAGTATAAAAGTTCATTAAGTTAATTCGGCAGTAATCACGACGGAAATCGCGGATTCTTTGCGGAAAAGAAATTTCTGAAGGCAGATCGCGGGCGCGAAGCGGGAGCGAGGCGCACGTGGTCGCGAGGCACGGCGCGTTTCCAATACGCGTATTCTCACGCGGGGGTGATCTCGCGGCGAGAATGAGTGTGAGAGCGAGAGCGAGGCTGGGAACTGGCCCCGACATTATCTTGGAGAGACGGAGCGCGCTTCTATCTTTTGCCGGTGACAGGATTGATTTCCGAATTGACGGTATCTTGTCAGTGATGCGATTTCTCAGCAGAGGCAGAGTACCTTTCTACCTCGTACTCTGAGTACCGGTCCGGAGATCTGGCTTATTCAGAATCAGAAAATGGATCTCTCGCCTAGAATCTAATCTCGCTTTTCATGCCGCCAGAGATAGATCTGCGGCGAATTTCAACGTGACGGCGGCGTTCAGCCGACTTCGTTAGCCGTTGGGTGCGTTCGGCTCCGAGCTGTATAACAGTATACTAAGCCGTTTTTACGTCTATTATGATAAAAGATTATAGGGCGCTTTTGCGCTTGCTGCATTGCCCGACCGGTGGTTGCCGGGTGCAACCTTCCGATGGTCAATTGGGAACGATGGGAGGTGGCATCATTACAATATTATATTACGTATATGCATAAATATTAGTTCATTAAAGTAGTAAAGATTTTATTAAGTTATACCATGCAGGTTGTGAAAACATTCTTTTAGATTCATCTAGAATAAGATAATATTTTCTTGAAGACACGTTTGCTAAAAGTAATTTTGAAATCAAGTCTTCCTTAACATGTTGTTGTTTTCATCTATGTATATTTGAAATATCAATTCCCACATTTCTTTCCAATGTTTTATATTTGCTTTTAATTGTTCCTTAAAAATTAGTCGACTATGATCTTCACTATTTATGCTGTTATAAATATTCTTTAAAACAGGCCACCTAAAATTTAAAATAAAAACACAATAAATATTTTCTGTGATTCTTTAGGAGTTACATGGACATAATACTGGAATTAACAATAATATATACACTGGTAAAAAAAAATTAGAAAAGCCCTTAAATATCCATTTCTAAAAAAGGCATGCTAAGTCGATTCTCGAAAGTCTCAAATGCATTGTTACCACTTTTCCGCGATGCTGATTGGTTCTGTCACAGCGTTTACTTTGTGAGCGACTGTCATTGCATATTTTGACAGTTGTACACGTATCGAGAGGTTATAGTGTAGTGACAGTATATAATGTATATTAAAGGATTTGGTGTATCTAATAGTTAAAATCTGATAAATTAGTGTTTATTAATTTTGTGATTGAGTGGTTTCGATTACACAGTTTCTCAGTTTCTTAGAAAAGGAAATAGAAATTCGGTAAATTAAAATTATGTATATATAGAAATTCGGGTAATTTAGATTTTTAGATTATGTACATATTTCCATTATAAGATATAATACCGAATTTGAAATCAATATATTTACTAACATTACAGATGTATTATCTATGTTAAATATAACAACAAAGGAAATCGATAACTGTAATACTGACAACAAGATTTTGAAGGAGACGATTGAAAATTTAAATAATAAACTCTTAATTTAAATAATAAATATAGAAATAATGAATGATTCAAACACAAAATCGCTATGTACGATTAGCAATAATATTAATACTGAAGACAGTTATATTCCAAAAAAGTTTATAAAACGCTTGATACTTATTTAACAAAACTTGTAGAAAGAGATGGAATGTACAATTCTGGAATTCAGTCATCATGTCAAATCAATTTTTCTTTCAAGAGTAATAACTGTTTCGTGAATTCTCTCGCGTGTAAAGTCCCGGGTATAATTTTGAATCTCCACGGGCGACGCGAGCCGAAGCACAGGCTTCTAGTTTTTATTTAATGCAGCAGTACGGGCGCGATGGTATGAGAGAGTTTGATTGAAATAAACTGTAATGACTTGATCCTCGTATAATATTGATTTATTAAGATTATGCGCGACTATGTATTGCGATGCGCTCCTCGAGACATGAAAATTAGCAAGTGACCTGTGCGAATTTATTTCAGGCCGCACAGGTAAGCCTTCGTTGTCGATCCGAAAAAGCCCGATACATCCCGGAATCCCGCGATTGATATTTTGACCGTTCATGTTCATGTGATTGACCGTTTCTTCGTTCACGTGATAAGACCAAAACAAAGTGAGACAATGATGCGTATATATATATATATATATATATATAGAAAACCGTGTCTCTCTTGTCTCGACCAGCACATCCCAACAGATACATGTCCAAACATCGTGCAAATTCGTGAAATATAATAACATGGAATAATAATTCTAAACACCGGCCGCCTTGGAAGACGTCGTCTTACAATAATAATAAATAAACTCGGGTTCACATACATGCGGCAGGCATACAATATGATTGATACGCTTCAAATAACAGTACAATAAATATGTATATTAAATAATATGTTTTGTAACGCAAAGAAAATAAATAATATATAATGAGTAAAGTGTAGTATAAATGATAAGAGTCGTCCTCAATTCAAATATCTAAAGCGATTTAAATAATTTTGTCATTAACGCTATTTGATTATTCAGCGCGGTCAAACTTTATAACTAATTGCAAAAGAAACGTCCTGTTTTTTTGTTTTTTTTTTTGCATTCATATAGCACGTTCATGTTATGAATGTAGTACAATTGATTGTCAAGCAACAAAAAACAATATATATATTTTTACAAATGCTAATCTTCTAGAGGCAAAATTGATAATTTTGAAAGAGGCCTGACAAATGATCCTTTGGCCGTGATTATTGTGGCTGTACGGGCGATGCCATCAGTTCCAGGATGAATTTCCTTCACGCGGCCAAGCGCCCACTGCAGAGGCGGAAGGCCCGGTTGCATGACTAGCACCATCTTGCCAACGCCCATCTGCTCTCCCTTGTTGCTAGTCCATTTCTGCCGCTGCTGCAATTGATTTAAGTATTCGCGGCTCCAACGACTCCAAAAATGCTGGCGGAGCTGCTCGACTCTCTGCCATCGCATCAATCGACCTTCCTTAATATCAGTAAGGTCATGGCATGGAAAATCACTCAATACCTCGCCAACCAGAAAATGCCCCGGCGTAAGATAGGCTAAATCATTAGGATCAGAGCTCAGCGGCGTCAACGGACGCGAATTTAATACAGCCTCTATTTTGCACAACGTTGTCTGCAACTCCTCGAAAGTCAGGTGTGAGTCGCCCGCAACACGCTGTAGGTGATATTTCGCAGATTTTACCGCGGACTCCCAGAGCCCGCCAAAGTGCGGCGCTCCAGGTGGAATAAAACGCCATGATATTCTGGAGTCGCGACAAAACTGTTCTATTTTTTCTTTGGTTGATGACGCGCCACGAAACGCGTACAACTGTGCCAATTGGCGCGAGGCCCCCTTAAAATTAGTTCCATTATCGGAAAATATAGAAGTCGGGCACCCCCGCTGAGAAATGAAACGCTTTAAGGCCGCTAGAAAAGCGTCCGTCGTCAAGTCACTGACTACTTCAATGTGTACTGCTTTCGTAGCGAAGCACACAAATATACAAACATAAGCCTTACTATTTCGAGCATTTCGCCGCTTGCCTTCTTTTATAATGAGAGGCCCCGCGTAATCGATGCCGCAATTAGAGAACGGCCGCGAAGGTGTCACACGGGGCGCAGGTAACACCGCCATTTTCGCTTCCGATATCGCCGGCCTGCATCTAAAACAAACGAGGCACTGTCTAATAACCTTTCGTGTGGTCGAGCAAACCGAGAGAAGCCAAAATTTTTGTCGCACCGCAGCCATAGTGCCCTGTAATCCAGCGTGCAAATTGCGTGTATGTTCTTTCTTTATTACGAGCTGAGTGAGCCGATGATTCTTTGGGAGCAAAATTGGGTGGCGGGCATCGTACCCTAATTGTGATTTTTCGAGCCTCCCACCGACGCGAATCAGACCCTGTTTATCCAAGAACGGCGATAATGATTTTAATGAGCTAGCGGAAGTGAGAGCGTTTCCCTTCTTTAATTGCCCGAACTCGTGTGAAAAAACTTCCCCTTGCACCAACTTGCAAATGTTTTCCAATGCGGCCGAGATTTCCACGTGCGAGACGTGAACGCCCACGTCTCCCTCGGATCGCAGACGCGGTCCAATAAATCGCCTGCAATATACAACAATTCGGCACAATTTATCTAGACTCGAACATCTAACTATAAGCTCCGAAAAAGGGTTCGGTGCCACCACGCCAGCGACAGCAGCAACTATCCGCCGCCTCTCCGGCATCTCGGACTCCGGGACATATTCGCCAACGCTTGGCCACGACTCCTCGCTGCTCTTTAAGAACACGGGACCTCGCCACCATAGCGCGGCATTCCCGATGTCATGCGGGTGGACGCCCCGAGATAGCAAATCCGCAGGATTTTCGGTTGTCGGCACGTGCCGCCAATCCAAACCGGAAGTTAACCGCTGTATTTCTCCAACGCGATTTGACACAAAAACCGACCATTTTCTCGAGCACGACGAAATCCATCTCAGCGCGATCGTGGAATCCGACCACAAAGTATACCGCACGTCCTTTATGTCAATAGATGAACGCACTTTGTCCAACAATTGTGCCAGCAATAATGCCGCGCAAAGCTCGAGTCGCGGAATCGAAATCACTCTGAGTGGGGCTACTCTTGTTTTAGAGCACAACAGATCAATCTGCACTTCGTTCTCATCTACTTGTCTTCGAATATACAAACACGCGCCATACGCCCGCTGGCTGGCGTCACAAAACCCGTGTATCTGAACGCAAGCCCCCTCTTGATTTCCCCCTATAAACCTCGGAACGCTTAAATCATTTAATTCTCTTAATTGTCTCTTAAACGCGGACCACCTTGCATGCATATCCAGCGGAATCGATTCATCCCACTGTATTTTTAATTGCCAAATCTCCTGTAACAGCATTTTTGGTATGATAATAACCGGACCGATTAATCCCAACGGATCAAATAATCTTGATATCTCCGACAATATTACGCGCTTCGTTATCTTGTGTGAGTCAGTCGGCAATTCAATCGCGAACCGAAAGGCATCCATCGACGGATTCCAAAGAATTCCGAGGATGCGTGACGTCGCGTCTCTATTAATTTGAACCTCGGCGTTATGTTTATCATACATATCATTTATCAATACTGATTCGTTTGAATGCCACTTGCTCAGTTGAAATCCGCCGCGGTTCAGAATCTTTACGATCTGGTTTTTCAACGCTAATGCTTCCTCGATTGTGTCCGCTCTCGTTAGCAGGTCATCAACGTAAAAATCGCGTTTCACTCGCCGGGATCCCGCGGGAAATTCCTCCGCGTACATCTCGGCCAAAAATTGCAGCGCTCTAGTAGCTAAATATGACGCGGCCGTTGTACCGTATGTCAACGTTATTCGTATGTTTGCACGCTCTCGGTGGCCTCATCTCGCCACAGAACACGCTGCAGTCGCGTCTGCTGCGGATCGACCAATATCTGCCGGTACATCTTGGCGATGTCTGCGGAGAATACGAATCGAAAAATTCGAAACCTCGATACAATGGAAAATAAATCCTGCTGCACCGTCGGCCCGATCATAAGAGCGTCGTTCAAAGAAACCCCTGTCGAACTCTTGCATGAAGCATCGAAAACCACCCTGATTTTAGTCGTTTCATTTGACGTCTTTAATATACAATGATGCGGCAAATAGTACGTCGGCAATCCCTTGTCTTTGTCATTTTCCTCCCTTACTAATTTCATATGCCCAAGAGCCAAGTACTCGCGCATAAATGCCGCGTATTGCGATTTTAATCCCGGATCGCGATTCAGCCGTCTTTCCAGCCCGCAAAAACGCCGCATTGCTATGTCTCGCGTTTCCTCGAGATTCTCTAATTTCTGTTTAATAATCGGAAGCGTGACTATTATCCGACCCTCTTCATTTCTCTTAGTATTATCGAGAAAGTGTCTCTCGCAAAAACGCTCCGCGCTAGTGTACAAATCCGACGGCCGAAAATCTTCCTCGATCTGCCAGAATTTGGCTAATTGATTTTGCAAGGCGGCATCCGCCACCGAAATGTGAAACGCTCTCACCTCGCGCCCGCGGGCGTCACGAGCGGTGACCTCCACACGGCCGGCGACAATCCATCCGAAAAGCGTTTTTTGTAGCGTGGGATGCGATCGGGAACATTTCAATCTCCCCACACAAAGCAGCTGCCAAAATATATCGGCGCCTATCAATATATCGATATCGGAGCATTTATGAAATTCCGGATCAGCTAATTTAATCCCATTAGGTATATGTATCCTTTCTCGATTAATAGGTGCCGCAGGTATCCGATCGGTTATGCGGTTCGTCAAAACGCACTCCAAACTCGCGCAGAAGCCGCTCAAACGCGAATGTAATTTTACTTTCACGATCTCGTTGGCGTCGCTTGTCATGCCATTTATTCCGGTGATTCTAACACTACCCGTCGATGGCTTTAAGTTTAATCTCTCGATGCAATCTCGCGTTATAAAATTCGCTTGCGAGCCGCTGTCCAGCAAAACCCGACATGATTGTCTCGTTCCAGTAGCATCTATTATATACACAATTGCCGTTGAAAGCAATACATGCGCGTTCCACGCGGAAGACACCTGAGTCATAACTATTTTTTCTTTTATCGTCTCCGGAGACGGCTCACCTTCGGCCTTTCCCTTTTCAGTAATGTCGCCCGAATCCGCCTGAAGATGAAGCATCGAATTATGTTTGGCTTCGTATGTTTTACACGCGCCCATTTTACATTTTGCGGCATAATGATTGCCCCCGCGAAGACAATTTGCGCATAGCTTGCGCTTCCGTATTTCCGCGATTCGTCGAGCGACCGGCAGTTTAATAAACTCACGACAATAATAAATGAGATGTTTTCCCTGGCAATATTCACACGACAAAGAGGCAGTCGCGACGTGAGCTGCCAAACGCTTTCCGGCGGGCTGAGTTTGTAAATTTCCGCGATTCAACGATTCTAGCAAATTGCATCTGTGCTCCAAAAATTCCGAGAGCTGCTTGAACGCGGGTAACTCTGTTCCGGTCAACGACGCCCGCCACTCTCTATCAGTAATCGGATCGAATTTAGACGAAACTAAGTATATAAGCAGCGTGTCCCAATGCTCCGTGGGGCAATGCAGTGCCTTCAATGCTTGTATGTGTTTCGCGGCATTGTCCGCCACCCTACGCAGCTCAACAGCATTTTCTTTCGCGATATTCGGCAGCTCGAACAGGGCGCGTAGATGCGTATGCACTATAGCGCGTTTGTTATCATATCTCTGTTTTAATAAATCCCAAGCTACTTGATAATTTGAATCAGTCAATTCCAGCAATTGAATTATAATTGCTGCCTCGCCTGTCATAGATGCTCTCAAATATTGAAATTTTTAGAAGCCGCTCAAGGACGGATTATCATTTATTATGGAGTTAAACATTTCATAAAAAGGAAACCAATCCTCGTATTTTCCCGCGAATTTTGGTAGATCTAATTTCGGTAATCGCACTCCGCATGCAGAGGTGCCCGACTCGCCGACGGATACCGGGGTAGACACTGCGGAGCGGCTATTGGAAGGTACGCGATTATATCCCGCAATCTTGCAGCGCAACGCTGCCATCAATCCGAAAAACATTTCTTCAAACGCCTCGCGATCTCCTCCCTCACCGTCGCAGATCGCCTCTATCTCAGATTGCCAGTCATTATACTCCTTCCAATAGCTAGCTAATTTATCTTTTCTTTCCTCTAAATTTGCTACCGTTTCCGGCGTCAATTGAGTCACCGAATCCGCGTATGTTTTTATTCGGGTACACGCAGCCTTTATCGACGTACGCTTTCTCTTTAGTGCTAAGAACTGATCCGAATGAGCCATAATCCACGCAATATATCGCTATCGCGCACAATATATCGCCACAATAACAGTTTACCCGAAATGCGAAACGGAAATGAACACCCCGATTGGCAAGTGAGTAATTTTCCTACCTTGACCGTCAATTTGATCGCTCAGCTAATGCCTCATTGACCGCCTTTGGTTGTTCGTCCGCCAGTTTCTCTGCATCATGGATCGTCACACGGGCTCCTCCGGGTTGGCAGCTCTTTATCTCATTTATTTCAGCGGCCACTGATTGTATGCTTCAGGGATGTCCTCTCGATGGACGATAATCATTGCTCTTTGACCCTCTCGATGCAACTCCAAAACGGCTCGTACCGTTAAATATTGTTGCGGATCTGACAAATTTCAGTTTGTCGCAAAGAATCCGGCTCGAAGGACCAAAATGTTTCGTGAATTCTCTCGCGTGTAAAGTCCCGGGTATAATTTTGAATCTCCACGGGCGACGCGAGCCGAAGCACAAGCTTCTAGTTTTTATTTAATGCAGCAGTACGGGCGCGATGGTATGAGAGAGTTTGATTGAAATAAACTGTAATGACTTGATCCTCGTATAATATTGATTTATTAAGATTATGCGCGACTATGTATTGCGATGCGCTCCTCGAGACATGAAAATTAGCAAGTGACCTGTGCGAATTTATTTCAGGCCGCACAGGTAAGCCTTCGTTGTCGATCCGAAAAAGCCCGATACATCCCGGAATTCCGCGATTGATATTTTGACCGTTCATGTTCATGTGATTGACCGTTTCTTCGTTCACGTGATAAGACCAAAACAAAGTGAGACAATGATGCGTATATATATATATATATAAAAAAAAAACCGTGTCTCTTGTCTCGACCAGCACATCCCAACAGATACATGTCCAAACATCGTGCAAATTCGTGAAATATAATAACATGGAATAATAATTCTAAACAATAACGAAAATGATAGATTTGTGAATTTAGAAAATAAGTTGAATATCACTAAATTTCGTATTATATGCAAATTGCATAATTGTTAGAAGCGAATTGATATAAATTGTCAAATCAATTTAATACATAGTATACATACGCTTCAATTTACTAAGTCTTCTTCAGTGTGAGTTAAACAATAAAATAAAAACATAATTAAATTAAAATTCGCAATAACATAAGCGCACATTCAATGATTTAATGTTAATATTACAATGAATTCGTGTTGAGTGTCATCGAAATCGTAAAGTGAACAATATAATTATGCTTGAGATGTACTATACTAGAAGTTTTCAACAGTATCAAAAAGCAATTTTGTCGTGTGATGGCGAGAAGCTGAACTTTTTTTGTTGTTAACTATACAAAATTAGGAAATTCCTGAATTAAATTCTATTACCGTTAGTTATTAAGTATAAATGTAAAATTGGTCTAACTTACAATCCTCCTAAAATCGTGGTGGTAACTCTCAAGTTCACGAAACAAATGTCAGTATATTAGCAAAGATCGTTAACTTGTTTAATGTTTACTCTTGGCAAGTTCATCTAGGATGTCAAAATATGTGTTGTCAAGCAATTCGGTGTCTGTGTTTAAGTTTATTCCATTTTTTTGTTTTCTAATATGAATCATCTCTGATATTAATCTTTTGTGTAAATTATTTTCAATGTCAAGGATTTTTACATTATTCCAATTGAACATATGATTTGAGTTAATTATATGTCCTGTAACCACTGAATGCTTAGATGAATCTGACTTAATATTTTTGGCATGTTCTATAATTCTAGTCTGTAATTTTCGTTTAGTTTGACCTACATATGCCGCATCACAATTGTTACAGCTAATTTTGTATATAACATTATTATTATCTTCCCAGTAAACACGAAGGGATCATTTACGAAACAATTACATAATATTCTATATGTATATGTTATAGATCGGCGAAACGAAACTATGACGTATATATCGTTTATGTCAATAACGTAATGAATCTATAATTATTACATAAAATTGTTATGCAATTTTGGCGTTACTTTGTTATGTAACATTTATGTATTTTAGTTAATGTAAATGTGTATACTCTAAAAGTTTCGTAAATACTACGTTATTTTAATGACATAATTGTAACGTTATATTAAATACATAACATTTATGTATTTTGGTTAATGTAAATGTGTATACTCTAAAAGTTTCGTAAATACTACGTAATTTTAATGACATAATTGTAACGTTATGTTAAATATGTAACATTTATGTATTTTGGTTAATGTAAATGTGTTTACTCTAAAAGTTTTGTAAATGCTACGTAATTTTTATGACATAATTGTAATGTTATGTTAAATATGTAACATTTATGTATTTTGGTTAATATAATTGTATATACATTAAAAGTTTTATAAATGCTGCGTAATTTTAATGACATAATTATTGTAACGTTATGTTAAATACGTAACATTAACATTATTTTGTTGACGTCAATGTATACATTCTGTAAAAACTTTATTATAATCATTACATACAGTATATTTTATAGGCTGAAAGATGCGTTTTGTTAACTCATTTTTTGAATTCGTTAAATTTCGTTTTGGGATAGAAAATGTTAAATTATTCAAATCTTGGATCAAATTTCGCAAAATAATTATTATTAACAAATTAAGAATTAATTTTTTGCGTAACTGTCTGAAATATGATGTCACTCCGCCGTTGTTAGTTGTTTATTGAATAACTATGTGAATAATTTTACGAGCCGCAAATCAACACGTAATTATGAACTCTCAAAAAGAACATTTTTTAAGAGACTGATACGCTTGGAGATTGATGATAGTTATAACATAGTTAACAGAACTTATGGTAGAATATTTGATTTGTGTTTTGACATGTACAAGAATTTACCTATTTCTCTTTACACATCGTTCTTTAATAAATAATCTGGCCCACTTTTCTCTTTTTATATTAAAGAGCGAGACAGACTTGAGAGGAAGTTCGGATATCTTTTACAGAAACATTTAAATAATCTCAATATCAAACCGGTTCATTATTTTTATCACCAATCGTTATCTACTAAAAACGATATAGAACCACGTCTTTATTCTTTCTCAAAAAATAAACAATCCGCTGAAAACCGAGAAACAAATACACCGAGGAACAGTAATAGAATTGGAAATATTGATATTGTTATTAAACCTACTTCCTTTCTCAATATTAAACTTAACATTCTGACTAAGAATGATAAATGGTTTATAAATTTGTCCTCCATACACATACCGGATGACATCAGATGTCTATTACAATTAGGAGAGAACTTTAGTTTACCTAATACCAGTAATATTGATCTAACTGTACATTTTATCAAAAATATTGAGAATAATCTAAAAAAACTTCCAATTGCTGATCGCAAGACCATCATTGCAAGGTCTAATAACATCCTTAAATCTATTCGTATCCTAATAGTGAAACTAACAAAAATTAATATTTTTAAATACTATTACAAATAACTTCCTTAAAGAAAATGATAATTTAATACTAACAAGAGCAGACAAGGGTAACATAACTGTGGCTTTAGATAGAGATAAATACATCGAAAGGATTGAAGGAGATAAATACATGACTTACTCATTAGATAGAAAAATAACAATTACATTTCGTTGCAGACATATTGTTCATTGTCATTTAGTGAGGGAACATTACCGAGAGCATATGGTTTACCAAAAATCCACAAAGAAAATTGTCCATTTAAACTAATTGTATCCTCTTTAAATACTCCTTTATATCAATTAGCACTTTACTTACACCAAATTATGAATAATAGTTTCCCTGTATGTAACAGCCACATAGAAAATAGTTTCGATTTGGTTAACGAAATTTCAGATGTTTACATACAAGATGACTACAAATTATTATCTCTTGATGTTATCTCACTTTTTACTAATGTACCTATTGATTTAGCTCTCGATAGTGTTTTCAATAGATGGCAATATATTGAAAATAATTGCAATCTTCCTAAGTCGGAATTTTTAATTGGAGTAAGCTTCGTGTTAAATTCTACGTATTTTACGTTTAACAATGTTTTTTATCGACAATCCTTCGGCACACCAATGGGTTCTCCTCTATATCTCCTATCATAGCTGATATTGTTTTACAGGATTTAGAAAATAAAGCTCTTCAACAACTAAAGTTTTGTCCACCCATATATTTTAGATACGTTGACGATATCAAGAGACACGGTAGTGTCTCGCGACCAGTTAAGGGCGTAGCGGAGACACCGTGTATCTTAACGCGAGTCGGACATTTGAGTCTTTATAATATTTCGAATCCTCAATAATGGCTGAAGCAATCGAGTTTATACTAGACTTAATCGATAGATTGAGTTCGAATTATATAATAAAAGTGTCTTTATTTCTGCTCTACGTGATTTGTAAGCAGAGATATATATAAATGCAAAGTCGAAATATGAAAAATTTCTATTAAGAAACGTCCCCGTCATCATTATTATTATCATCATCATCGACCACGCATACATAGTAGTTTAT